ACGTGTCCCGTACGACGTCCAGTCGTATCCGAATGCCGATTACTTTCTCGTTTTTGCCATTTTGCACGTGCATATCCGTCCTCGCTCATCCACACTCGTCCACACTCGTCCACACTTTGTCGTCTGACTCAGGCACATTAGATACGTATTTTCTACGTGCGCGGAGGTACGTTACGGTGCACACGCTACTTTCTCGGTCGACCTATATGGGATTTTTTTCTCAAACCCCATACGATACTCCATGTCGGCTGTATAACTCGAATCTGGGTTCCTTTCTATCGCGCATCATCGGGTACACGCTTTTCTGCGCTCGACTAAAGTAGAGGGAGCGAGCAGGAATGGCACGCGAGTAGTAGTTTTGGCATTTCTTTCCGTTAGAAAAAGGAAAAGAGAGAAAAGAAAGAGAAGAAAGGAACGTCTCCCGTCTCGGCGTCTCAAGAATTTTATTTTTTAACAAGCCGAACTTGTTCGATAAGCGTGAATTTTATTAAGTAATAAATTTCTCCTCGTTCGTTCTCTCCTGGCTCGCTCTTCCCCGCTCTTCCGTATTTCCTTTCCGATCTACTTGGGATAATTTGTGGGATGCCGACGCGCTTATGAGAACTGTTTGCGATTTTTTTCTACTGGATTTGCAGAATATTATTCGAACGAACCTCAAGTTTAATCTCTCTCGCATCACATACATTAGAGAAGAAACTCTAATTACGGAATTATCCGAGTTACGGGGCGAGCATAAAACGTAATGAAACGTATTACAAACTTATCCACGTTCCGTGAAACGGCGCCGTGAGACGTGAATGAACAGCAACGGACGAGAGAATATTTCTCTCTCGTCCGTCGTTGGTTTTCTCCTCGCTATTCTCTCGGAGGACTTCCTCGCTTATCTTCCGGGCGATTTCTGATTTTCTAGCGAAATTCACCGGATGACACGCTGCCTCAATCTTTACGTTAAACCGTGTAGTATGTCGACGTTTCGAAAATCACTTCGCGTTTGCAGGCTGTATAAAACAGTCGCCGCGAAATTTTGCGGAATTCGCGGCGGTACGTCGGCGCGCCGACCGTCTTAACGTATAAGCCAATTAGGACTCGATATTCTGTTGAGCTCGCGACTATTCATCATGCAAGGCGATTACAAGCTGGGAATCTGTGCCGATGATAGTTAAGACCGGCGGCAGTTAAGGCAAAACGGAACAATACGAGAAACACGACTGGAAAGCAGCAGGTAGAGTTGGGGCAGTCAACCGGTCGGTCGGTCGGTCGGTCGGTCGATCGGTTACTAGAATTAATGCTTACCTCGCTGGTTGTGGTGTAATTTGTTGTCAATTTGATTTGCGGTCTAATCTTTCCGGGCGACTCCCGCGTCTCCTTGGCAGATGTCAAAGGTGCGGTGGTCGTGATATCGGCGACAGCGGCGGCGGCTGCGGCGGCGGCAGTTGCGGAGGCTGCTGATTTTCTCGATGACAATACCGTGGCCGCGGTGTGTTGAGTAGGCGAGATTATCCTCGGCGATGTCTCGGTGATGTAGGTGGGACTCGAGCCGTCATGCGGAATCGAGAAACTCGCCGTGGACGATGCCGCTGATGACGACGCGGCTGTTGTCGCCGTCGATGTCGCCGACGCCGTTGCCGCAATCATCGTTGACGAAGTCGCTGGTAATTTCAGCGTCGTCGTGGCGGATGTGCCAGCTGTCTGCGGCGCCGTCGCCGTCGCCGTCGCCGTCGTCGTCGTCGTCGTCGTCGTCGATGTCGATGTCGATGTCGCCGCGTTTGACGAGAATGACGGCGAGTGTAACGTGACGTTCGGCCTCGATGCTGCCGTTGTCACGATAATCACGGATGTATTCTTGCCTCCTCCGGGCGCGATCGACGTGGTTTTCTTGACTTTGATCGAGTCGCCCTTCGACGATGCCGGGACGGCCGACGCTGTCATTAGCAGCAACGCGAGGCAAACGCAACACTGGATAGCCCGCATCCTTAGTATCGATATTACGGAAAATAGCCGCTTCCGCTACTGTATTTTCACGTGCAACGCAAGGTGTCTTCCTTCGAGGAATTCTTTTTATCGCTTATTTTATATCGCTTATTTTATAAGCGATCGACGCTTTCCTCAGATCGGAATCGCTTAAAACCTATGAAAAATATGCAATTTATATTAGTAATTATCATGGGTTGTATATTTTTTTTGATACTTGATATAAATGATTTTAATTTGTGTCGAAAAATTCAGAATAGAATTTTATTTGTAAATTTATATATCATATTATGAAAATTCTATATTGAAATTCAATGAATTATTTGGCAAATTATGGATTATTTAAAGCAAGTTTTCAGAAATGGAAGGTGTTTTTCAAAACAAGATAGAATCCGATGTCTTTATTTCTGCGCTTACTTTTTTACACCGAGTCTTTTCTTTTTTTCTCTTCCCGTTTCTCTTCCCGTTTTCCCTCGAAAAATCAAATCGCTTTCGCTTTTCCTCATCGATGTCAAATGAGGGAAAGGATTACAGATCGCGTATCTTTGCGGTTTGCCGAGAAATTACACGATGCGGATGCGATAATATAGAACGTAACGCACATTCTCCATTTATCCTATCCGAATGTTCACTGCGAAATGGCCTTAACAGAATAAACTTCTCGCTCTTGCAACGGTAATTAGATTTTTCTGAGCTCGGCTGAAGTTCATGTTGAACTCAGGTACGCGCCATTTCGTCGGGAATGTTAAATCAAACTCATAATTCAGTCTCTCTTTTATCATGTACTTTTCCTCTATAATTTTCCATCTGCTCACGTTTTACATTGGTATTGTGCAACTAAATGAAATGTGATCTTCTTTCGAGCGTAATAGCGTAAAGCTAATAACACGAAGAAACACAATTTCCCGTTCGTATGAAATTATGCAAATATCGAGATATAATTGCTACGTGTCAAGTTCGACCCGGAGAGATAGACCGGAGGTGGGGAAATCCTCCTCGTGACCAGAATGTTGCAACCTAACGTTGCGTTACGATGGGTGAAAATCGCTTAGAACTTCCGTTGTGCGTGAGATGTATACGAAACAAATATGAATATGAAATGTATTTCAATTGTAGCGTTTTTTTCTCCTTGACCTGTGCCCCTTTCAACGAACTCGAGATTGCTCTACGTTTGGATCAATTTTTTTTTACCAAATCTCGATTTTTTTTTTTTCGGCCACACAAGCCGAGTGGTGTTCTTCTTATCCGAAACATTTGTGTCGACGGATAGAAATTAGGTGAGGCGAGAAGATGGATAGATAGTTGGGAGAGGCACGCGTTTATTTGTTCGCCTTCCTGGATGTCCGTGCATCGGTCCATGGCGAGTCTGACCGCTTATCTGCCTGCCTGCCTGCCTGCCTGCCTGCCTGCCTACCTACGTATTTTCCTTTCACGTGCTCGATCTTGTCCGCGCGTCGGTGCTTGTGCCGCAACAGTTATCGCACGTATGCCATACGACACTGGTGAAATTGGGTCATTCGGTACAAACCGACCATACGAGCCGTTATCTCGTTGCATTTGCAAGGCCGTATCAAACTGCGCCCGCGCTCGTGCTCGCGCTCGCGCGCAAGCGGACATCGCACGCTTCGAGCATCAGATGTTAGACATTACGCTTCATTAGAATATGTATCTCACGTTGCTGAGTATGTACCTGCGACGGATGCGCGTCTCAGGTATAACGGAAGCGACAACGCGACACGGACTCTGAGAAGAGAAAAAAAAAAAAAGAGAATAAACGCTATCATCTCGAGTGGATAGACACGCGCGCGCGATAAAGGACGCGATTGAGTTACGATCGAAATCGACGAATCTCGAAAGTGTAACACGCTGATCGTCGTTAAATCTTACGACCATCTTTCTCAACGAAATTTAATTTAATTTAATTTACATCCGAGCTTTATTCGTTGGAAGGAGGCCCGATTGCTTTCCAGTGGATAAAATTTACGCACAATGGAAACTGTCCGCTATTCGCGAATTTTTCGTACCTGTGTACCTTCTGCCATTCTTCTCTTTCGTCACGGTAAACCGCACAATGTAGCGGGCGGAGAATGCGTTGCCACGCTTAACGCTTAAACCGCAAACCAAGTTTTTTAATGTTCGCGTTCACATCGGCCGTTTACGCATACAAACAATGCAACAATTAAATTATTCTCTTCATAAAGAGAGAAAAGGATCTAGAATGTGACGCAGAAATTTCAGAAAATTAATAAAATAGGACAGAATGAACGTTTGTCTTTACGGTGTTGTGCAACGATAGTAATCGAAAAGAGAAATAATGAGATAAACGGTAGATCAAATTACACAATTTAATTTATTACATATCTTTTCGCGTGTCTTCTCTCTCTCTCTCTTCTCTCTCTCTCTCTCTCTCTCTCTCTCTCTCTCTCACTCAAACGCGTTTCTCTCTGTCGCATTAGCAATTCGATGCACGTGGCGTTATAGGCGAGTGGTGAATAATTTCACCGTTAATGAGCGACTCGCGAGAGTAACGAGCATTAATTTGCTTGCGCAGATAAAACGAATGTTCACGGATCGATACGCGTGCGTTTGTTTCGGCAATTTGTCGGACTAACGAGACCGAAAGGAAAGCGCGCGGCGGTCGAGCGAATACAAAAGAGCGTGCGATTAGCAATGGGTATAATCACCGGCAGAAAGAGAAAGAAAAAGAGAACGCTTTGACACGGACCTCGTAAAATTATTCGCGTTTCACCTCTCGCGCGTCCGCGCGACACATAAAGGATCTCGCGCGATTCAAAGGCGACTTTCCGCGCAACCAGAAGACAAAGAGAGCCGGCGACTCGCGTCAACGGTCATTCTGACCGACGACGTAACCATCTAACGGATCTTTTTGTTAAATTAGCTTAACGCGTTGCGTAGCCCTTTTCCTCATTGTAGCCTTCGCGTTCGTTGTACCTCGCGGTTCGTCGCGTCATTCGCCACGGCGGACGGTCGGAGGCTGCCGTCACAGTGTAACGCGCGACATCAAAGGAGCACGAGCCATGTATATTCCTTGTTTTCTTTAAGACAACATGTGAAAATTGCGTACGCAAACCGCTCGAACTCTGTTGACTCTACATTGATTTATTTTGAGAATATATACGAAAAATCGAGGAGAGGCAGGGAGGGGGTAAAGCGCGAAAGCAGATACGAATGATTCCACTCCCTTTTCCGGTGGAAAATCGGCTTGTTCTTTCCACGAACGATCCGCCAGAGATATCGCGATAATAATATATCATCGTTGCGTTTCCCTCCTCCCTTGCATTCCCTTTTCCGAGAAGGAACATTTGCCTGAGAAAAAGGAAAGAACCTTCGATATGAGAAAGAGGAAGAACGTACAAGAAAGAGGAAGGCGCGGTTATCTGGAAGAAGACATTCGAATAACGAATACACCCACCAGCACGATTCGCATCGGTAGTTGGTAGTTGGTAATTGGTAGCGCCCGGTAGTTGGACACGTAGATTGTAACGGAAGTACGAAGAGCAAAGTCAGCGGTCGCGATCGGAATGTTGTTCCTTCGGTATCTACCTGCTTCGCGGCGGAATCATTGACGTCGAACGAACATTATCCGCAAAAACGTAAATAAGAAGGAACGCGCGTGTACGATGCACTTTCCCATTTTTCTCAATCATCTCTTCAGTTAATTTATATACTTCACGATGTCGTGAATTTGTCGACACGAAATCAAGATAAATCATAACCAGCAATTCGATTTGTAGTTATGAGACGAGATAGCTAGCAATCATTTCATTCTCAAAGCCGTAATTATTTAACAATTTTGCTATCGAACAGTAACGAGTAGTAAATTAAATTAGTAATTAACAGATGACAAAATTTTCTTTTACGTTTAATATTTTATTCTTACTTTTTTATATGTAAAAATGAATATATAATTTTCCATTTTAATTATATTATATTATATTAAATAAATAAATGTCGTTTTGACTTTAAAGAAATTTGATTCGATGAAAACTAGGAGGAGATATTAAAGATGCAAATAAACGTATAAATGCGTCAAGTGAAAGAAATGGACAGGTAAATGAATCGGTCTTCTCAAGAGATATACCTTTTCAAAAATTCTCATACATCATCTTATTCCGCAGCCTCATAAATATTTAAAGAGAGAGGAACATGAAGAGATCATACCTCGTATGGCGCGTAGGTAGACTTGACCCTTGACCTAGACTTTCGTCCTCGCTCCACCTTGACCGCGACCTCGACCGCGATCTCTGATAGGAAAGAAGAAAGGCGTACTTCTCGCGGTCCCCGCGCGCCACTGACAAGCCGGTAGACAGTCGGCAGTCGGCTCTAATCCAATCGAATGCCGCGTCAATTTCTTCGCTTCCAAAAAGAAATCCCTCTACGATTCCGTGCACGTTACCGATAGAATCGCCGAGAACGGGTGAGAAGGGACAGCGTTTGACAGCGTAACGATCGCGCGATGACGACTCAACGCTGGCACCCAAGATCGCGACGATCGCGAAATTCCGTCTTGCACGTCCTGTCTTGCGCACCCTCTTCCGCGTTCCGCAGCTCTTCCGAGACCGTTCTGCTCGCGAGTGAGGTTGCCGCTGCGAGATTGTCGCTGCCGCTGTTGGTGGCTGATACTCTCTCGTCGTCGAGATTGTCGTTGCTGCTCGGAGGCCGGTGTAGACGGACGAAGGTAACCCGCGATGAGATTGTTTCGGGGTTTGCGCCCGACTGCGGCCTCGCGTAGGACGCTACGTGCCTATGAGTCCCCGCTACGTCCCACTTACCAACC